TTGAGTTGGTTTTGCTTATTGTATACTGCTCTCTTGATCTATTGAATAGCATCTCAGAATTAACCACAATTGGATCTTTTCATGCTGAATGTTGATTAAAGTAGCATACATTGACTGGGTGAAACTCTGCCGCCAGTGTCTATTCTAGATCATTTTCATATCTTATCACTGCCTTTAATTTCCAGGTAATGGCCTAGTGGTATTAGTGCTGGACTGTGAATCGAGAGACCCAGGTGGTGTCCTGGGGATAACACAGTATGGAGCTGGAGGGACACAGCAGGCCAGGCAGCATCAGAGGAGCAGGAAAATTGACGTTTCGGGTCAGGACTCTTCTTCAAAAGGGTCTGAAGAAGGGTCCTGAACCGAAACATCTACTTTCCTGCTCCTCTGATGCCGCCTGGCCTGCTGTATTCCTCCAGCTCCACATTGCGTTATCTCTGACTCTAGCATCTGCAGTTCTTAGTGTCCTGGGGATCTCTGTTCGATTAAAAAAAAAAAATCTTGAATTAAGAATCTAATTATGACCACAAATTTGTTGCTGATTGTTGGGAAAAACCCATCTGGCTCACTAATGTCCTTTAGGGAAAGAAGTAATCATCCTTAGCTACATGTGACTGACTCCAGACCCATAGCAATGGAGTTGACTCTTAACAATTAGGGGATGGTGATGGCCTCATCCTGTGAATGATTTAAAAAAAAAAGCTGCAGCTAATAGGATCTTGCAGTTTCCTATTTTCCAAGGCTTGATAGCATGCACCATCTATCAACAATAGTAGCAGTGGTTAGGGACTTCTTAACACTGAATTAATAATTAAGATGCATGGGAAGACTCATGTTTCACAATATATGAATTACCTGACTAGTTCTAACTGGTAATAGAAAGGTTTCATATAGTGGTAACAGAAAACAGAATGATATCATCCAAATTGATGTAACTTTGTTTATCATCCCTTTAATCTTCTAGGCAGTAGTTTTCCATTAAAGCCTTTGTTTGATTGGGAAAATCATAGAATCTCTACAGTGCAGAAAGATGCCGTTCGGAGTGTGCACCAACCCTTCAAAGAGCATCCCACCCAAACCCAGGCCCCCGCCCTAACCCTGTAACCCTGCAACCCTGCTTTCCCCATGGCTAATCCACCTAACCTGCACATCTATGTAATGTGGGAGGAAACTGGAGCACTTGGTGGAAAACCATGCAGACAAGGGGAGAACATGCAACCTCCACACAGTTACCCAAGGCTGGAATCAAGCCCAGATCTCTGGCATTGTAAGGCAGCAGTGCTAACCACTAAGCTACCATGCCATCCATTCTCTGTATACTTATTTCTTCAGACTGTTGCAAAAGTAAAAGCTACATAGTCAAATAACTGCAAACACTGAATTCTTGTACAGATTATACAGCTTAATCCAAGGGCCGCTGTAATACATAATAGAGTCTTCTTTCAGGAAACTACTCCTTTGGAAACTAAAAGAATAATTGATTCACTCGGAAACATGTTTTTTGTAGTGAATAAAATCACTGAACGACATCATATATCACCTAAGTGAGATGCTGAAGAAGGAATTCATCAATCAAAGGGTAAAATCAAACCCTTGCTTATGCTGAATAAATGTATTGCTGACAACTTTTGATTGCTTATGTTCCTACCCTATTGTGAACATAAGAACAGGTTTTAAAGACCTCTTTCTATGCTGTCATGGGAAATATTTTGTCAGCTGGATAAACTATTAGTGAACCCCTAATTGTTTTCTTTTGTTCAGTTTTTATGGTTTGATCCAATTTCATTTCAAACATTTGTACGTTTTTTCTGCCATTATTTCTGAGTTTTGTGAAAGCAACCATGAAATAGTGAGCAATGAAATTGGTTATCCGTGTAAGTAAAGGTAAAGCTTTGGTCCTGAGAATGGAACTTTGATGTCTTAACTGCCAAGTTAGGAAGTGTGGATGCCTGTTGTCTGATTTCCTAAACTTGCGTTTGTCTGACAAAAGAATATAAATAGAATTATAGAATCCCTACAGTACAGAAAGAGGCTATTCAGCCCATCGAGTCTGCATTGAGCCTCCAAAGAGCCCCACCGTATCCACATAAGCCTGCATTTTTCATGGCTAACCTAGGTAGCCTGCACAACTCTGGACAAATGGGACAATTTAGCATGGCCAGTCCACCTAGCCTGCACTTCTTTGTTCTGTGGGAGGAAACCAGTGCATGTGATGGAAATCCAGACGCAGAGAGAGCGTATAAATTCCACACAGACAATCATCCAAGGCTGGAATCAAACATGGGTCGCTGGTGCTGTGAGGCAGCAATGCTAGCCCCTGAGCCACTGTGCTGCCCTGCTGAATTAGCAAATGATAGGACAATGTATAAAGAATGGAGCAATAGCTATGGATGCCTTAAATCTTCATGTTGATTGGGTTAATTGGTTTGGAAAGGATAGTTACAACAAATTCATAGAATGCATTAGTGATAGTTTGCTAGGGCAATATGTCATGTCGCCAACCAGGGAGCAGTAGTAAACCATTCCGTCCATCGAGTCTCCTCCACTATTTACTGAGATCATAGCTGATCCATCTACAGCCTTAACTGTACCTTCCTCACACTTGGAGCCACCAGTTCAGATACAATTCTGACTATAAAGGCCTAGAGATGGGATCACTGGATAGTAAGGCACTGAACAGGAGTGGTTTGCAGCCAAAACTCAGACAGTAATTGTAGAAGGCCAGTTTGCTGTCAGGACTGGACAGAGTGCTAGTAGTATGGCTAGAGATATGAGTGTTTAAAGGGACTTATAGAATCTCGGAGCAGTTCAGCAATTTGTCCTCCAGATGTTTTTTTAGGATTGCTGAGGTGTTGTCTGGGAGAGGCATGGTGCCAGGAAGGACGCACCTCCGCTATGTCCTCCCACAGGATGTCAGTAATCATTGCTACACTACTGTCACCTGACCAGTGCCCTTGCTGTTGCTTGTAGTCAGCCAGTCCAAACTGTTGTTGTTAAGGTGATGCAGTCTGAAGCTAAATGTTCTAAGATCTATGCAAGGTTGTTCTGCAAGACCCATCTGTCATCTCCCTTATTGAAAGAAGATATTGGTAGGAGAAGTGTGCAGACCTCCAAGCAGTAGCCACACTGTAGGAAAGGGTTTAAATCAATAAATGATAGGAGAATGTATAAAGCAGTGCCAGACACCTAAGGGGGTAATTCATAACTCTCTACAGAAATACATCCCAGAAAGAAGGATAGATTCTAGGAGAGGAATGAACAAACCATGGTTAACCAAGGAAGCTAAGGGTTGAAAAGAAAGCATATAAGAAGGCAAAATTTAGTCATAACTCCAAAGACTGGGATAGATTTAGAGTTCCGCAAAGTGGGACTGAAAAGCTAATAAAGAGGGAGGAAAATAAGCTACAAGGGCAAACTAGAGAGGAAAGTAAAAACTGACAATAAGAGCTTCTTTTAATATATAAAAAGGAAGAGAGCTGGCAAATTGAACATAGGCCCCTTAGAAAATGAATCTGGTAGATACTTATGGGAAACGAGGAAATGGCAGAGGATTAGGGTTAGGCAGGTATCTATCTGGCATTGCATTAATACGAAAGAAGACGGAAGAGGCATTAAATACCATTAACATCACTAGAGAAACACTATTAGACAAACTAATGAACTAAAGGCAGATAAATCTTACACCCTAGGATCCTAAAGAGGTAGGTACAGAGATATTGGATCATCAGTTGTAATATTTCCAAAAATCCATGGACTCTGCAAAAATACCAGAGAACTGGAAAGCTGCCAACGTGACACCTGTATTCAAAAAGGGAGGGAGGTAAAAAGTGTAACTGTGGGTTGATTAGTCTGACTTCTATTGTTGGAAAAGTGTTGGAATCAATTATTAAGGAAGTAATAGCAACACATTTGGAAAATTATAATCTCATCAATCAGAATCAGTATGGCTTCCTGAAAGGGAAATCATGTCTGGCTAATTTGTTAGAGTTTTTTGAGGAACTACCAACCAGTGTGGGTAGAGCGGAACTAGTAGATGTGTTCTATTTGGACTTTCAGAAGGCATTTGACAAGGTATCTCACGCATGCCCATGGTGTTGGAAGTAGTATATTAGCATGGATCAAAAATTGGCTGATGGGCAGTAAGTGGGGGTCGGGGGTTCTTTTTTTCAGATTGGCAACTTGTAACCAGTGGAGTTTCATCAGGAATGGTGCTGGGACTGCAGCTGTTTACAATGTATGTTGGACCCTCGAAAGAAAGCGACTGTACTGCAGCCACATTTGTAGATAACACAAAAATGGGTGATGAGGCAAGTTGTGAAGGGAATACAGATAGTTTACAGGGAGATATTGATAGGTTAAGTAAATCGGCAAAAAGTTAGCAAATGGGTTATAATGTGGGAAATTTTGCAAGGGAGAACAAAAGGAAAATAATATTTCAGTAGGGAAAAACTGCAGAAAGCTGCAACACAAAGGGACTTGGGGATACTTGTGCATAAAACAAAGAAAGGGAGCACATAGATTCAGCAGTTAATCAGGAAGGCTAATGGAATGTTGGCCCTTATTTCAAGCAGATTGGAGTATAAGAGTAGGGAACAAAAGCAAAGTTGCTGGAAAAGTGCAGCAGGTCTGGCAGCATCTGTGAAGGAAAAAACAGTTAACGTTTCGGGTCCGGTGACCCTTCCTCAGAACAGGTCTCTGGATATATAGTCCAGTGATAATGCTAGTAGGCCATCACCTCCCCCTTGCAAATTCAATTTGCTTTATCCTTATTTCCAATTTTTAAAATTATTTTTCCATATTTATGAACAATTTTTTCATATTTAATAATTTGCCCAAATCAATTTGCAGTACTCTATAATTTCGTAAACTTCTATTGAATCACCTTTGATTTCCCTTTTTTTGAATTTCAGCCTGTGTCAGTTCATGATCGTTTAGGTTTCTGATGGTTCTGATTGCCCTGCAGTGCCTTGTGCCCACAATCGTTTTGAGTTATTTTCTGTCCCACTCTGAGCAAATCAAAACTGTCTAGCTAAGAAAGTAATTTATAAAGGGAGAGTGAGGAAATGTGACCAAAAGCTGAGTTTAGTTTAGCTTTTTATTAAAACATAGGTTAGTTGCATGATGGAGTGCTTATGAAGTTCCAGGACAGTAGAATTACAGTTGAAGATTCTGACATAGGTGTTAAGGCACAATAAGGGGTATGCACAAAAGACATGAGTCAGAACACCAAAGGCTGAGACAAGAGCAATGCTGTAAGTAGACAAAGAAAGAAGTAAAAGGCGGCTGTGGATAAGTTTGAGAATGAAGGTAAAGACATTAATTTGGTGAGTTAAGGAACAAGAAATCAGTGTGCATGCATAAATGAGGTACAGCTCAAGCATAAATTACAAAATAAATGTTTTCATTCACAAAGTGACATTTGCATTTGCAGATACCTCAATTATCAACCACATAAGAAAGAAGTTCAAGTAGCACATTGTGGTGATAAAATAAATAGAGTATGAGGGATGGAAATTGAGAGCATCACCATACCCAATGACTGCTATGTAGAAGAGAGCAGTACCTTTAGCTAGTGAAAGAATGATTATGCCTTTGACAGTGGTCCTACTCTTGTAAAGGCTTGGGTACACATAGTGAGCAAACAAAGGAAAACTTTGCATTATTACCAAATTCTTCTTCATTTTTCCTGCAGGTTAAATGAAGCTCCTGTGAAAGGTTTTGAAAAGGATGTTGGGGCAAAGACAACTCTTCGAATTACATATCCAGAAGGTGCCATACAAAAACCAGCTCGGTACGAGAAGGATTCACTATTTGTGTTTGCTGGATTCAAACCTCAAGACTTCAAATGGTTGAAATACATTGTTTACAAAGAAAAAGTGGTAAGAATTCTCCTTTGTATATGCCTGTGGCGTTCTGTGAACAATAAAGGCACAGCAGATTAGATCGCTATGTTTTGTGATTCTGGCCTTTTAAATGTCTAGTATAGTAAATCTTCAAGCTCATTTCTTCTGTTTGAGTGGAAAATGGTAAATATAATTCGTAGAATAACATGTATGTTAGGATTTTTTAAAATTATTATTCCTTGTTGATCTAATGTGGGCAAGATGAATTCTTGAATGACCACAGTCGAGAGCGAGACTTCAGAGATCAACAGAACAAGTAGTTGGCTTCATTGGGAGTGACAACGGAGGCTGCATTTCATCAGTAGTGGTGATAATAAGCATCATCTTCAGTCAAAAAACATAACAGGCATAAATAATCTGTAAGTGATTATAGTGTCCAGTAGTTTTGAGCAAGTTGGTCTGACAAGCCCAGTACTAACTTTGCATATAAGATTAAATGTCCCACTAATAACTATTTATTTGCTTTACAGTAACATTAGGAGAATTTTGAAAATGTTCCAGATCTCATGCCAACTCTCATTATGCCGGCAATGAATTAGAACATAGTAAATATTTGCTTCTGTACAAAAGACTTGAAGCTTGGTTAATAATTCAATATATTCTGCCACTGATGAATTATCTGATGTTCTATAGGATAGCACATCTAAGGAGAAAGACTAGATTGATTGATTATCCCACAATAAGAACTATAACATACCAGTAACCTGTAGAAATGCTATATAGGGAATGAAATATGCTGAAATTTATCAATGATACTCTCGTTCTTTTTTCAGCAATAATGATCAAAGTTATTAACCTCATATTATTAACCATCAATGTTTGTAGTTAGAAATTGACAGTGTGAGAAATCTCAACATGATCATTTAAATGTACCAGTATTATTTAATCATTGTCATTTTTATATGCAATCTTTATTACTGAGGTTTCTATATTTACCAGTGAGATCCAACACCATTGCTAAAAAAACCTCTTTGTTTTTAGAAGTCTGTGATGGTGTCACTTTCTAATATAGAAAGTAGTTTAGAATGTATGGCATACAAGAATGGAAAATAATGGCGAGAGTCTATTATGCTGTAATATTATTCCTTTATGTACTCAGTAAAATTCTGCCTTGCAGAAAGTACGCCAAATATGGAATTGTGTATGTGCTTTTCCTGCACTTTAAAATGATAAATAGAGGTTGGATTCTTTCATTTGTTCTTATCTTGGGACTTAAACGTTGGAAATTGCTGTTGCAAATTCCCTGTACTTGATGCTGTACTTTGAGATCATGTCTAAGCAACACATTCTCTTGCTGTTTTGTTTTTGGACTGCATGATGTTTTAAAAGTACAGTCCCTTTAATTTATTTTTGTGCAGCCGTGTATGCATTGCAACTTGAAATAATTTTGAACAACCTGTGTGCAATCTTTGATTGCTGCATGGCTGCGAAGCTTGAAGAGGACATTGGAAACAGGTTGCATCATCAAAAACTGGAAATAGCTGCATGCAGCTAGACTTAAAAAGCAGCCAGTTTTCACAAATGAATGGCAACTAACATTAATGCCAAGCAAGTACCAGGAATGACCACCTCTCATAAGAGTGGACTTAACCACCCTGTTTCATATTCAATGTCATTACAAATGTCAAGTCCTCCATCAATACCATGAGTGTCAACATTGTGGGAAAATTCAATAGGACTAGCCATATAAATATAGAAGATCAAAAGTATGAACTAATAATGGCACAACTACTTGCATGCCACAAGTCCAGGAGTGTGGTAGAATAGACTTTTCTGGGCAGTGTAGGCCTGATCAGCATCTCATCCACAGCCCTGCCATCACAGGAATCAATCTGTTAAACCTTTGTTCCAGTCACTCTATAGCCAGAACATCCTTCTTCAGATAAGGAGACCAAAACTGCACACGATACACTAGGTGTGTTCTTACCAAGGCCTTTTAAAATTGCAGAAAGCCATCCCTGTTCTTGTGTTTGAAACCTCTTGTGTACCATTTGCCTGCTGCATCTGCATGCTTACTTTCAGTGACTGATGTACAAAGACACCCAGGTCTCTTTGCATCTCCCCCATTCCCAATCTACACTAGTCAGCTAATAATTTGTCTTCCTGTTCATGCTCCCAAATTCACATTCATCTACATTTTACTGTACCTGTCATGCATTTGCAATCATTCAATTTGCCCAAATCACAGTGAACTCACTCCGCATCCTCCTCACAGTTTGCTCTCCCACTCATCATTGTGTCATCTGCAGACTTGGAGACATTACATTTAGTTCTTTCATCTAAATCATTAATATATATTGTGAATAGCAGGAGTCCAAGCACCCTGATCCCTCACTACACCATTAGTCATTGGCTGCCACTTGGAAAATGACCCACATACTCCTGCTGTTTGTTTTCTGTCTGCCAAGCATTACTCACTCTATCCATGTCAGTACATTACGACCAATTCCAGTCGATTTAATTTGACATGCTGATCACTTCTGTAGGACTTCTTTCAAAAGCTTTCTGAAAGTCCAAGTAAACCACGTCCACTGGCTCCCCTTACCAACTCTAGTAGTTATGTTCTTGAAAAATTCCAGTGGATTTGTCAAGCCCGACTTCCCTTTCATAAATCTATGCTAACTCTGTCTTCTCCTGTCACTGTTTTCTGAGAGCTCTGCTAATAAAGAACATGGTTGAATTAGTCTCTAATTACTCTTGACAATCTTCTTAAATCTAAGTAGGATCATTATCTCACTCCCTTCAGTGAAAATTAGAACATAGGAATTAGGAGCAGAAGTAGGCAATTCAGCCCTTCGAGCCTGCTCCGCCATTTAACATGATCATTGCTGATCTTATCCCAATCTCAACTCCACTTTCCTGCCTGCTCCCCAGAGCCCTTTATCCTGCTTTTCATCAGAAAAGGATTTGTTTCCTCCTTGAATCTGTTGATTGATTCTGTCTGCACTGCATTCTGGGGCAGTTGAGTTTCACAGATTCACAGCTCTCTGAGAGTAGTTTCTCCTCATCTCAGTTTTAAACCTCCCTCTCTCACTCCATATCAGTGACCTCTTGTTTGAGACTGTCCCATAAGGGGGAGTATCTGTTCAACGCCCACCTTATGAATCCCCTTTAGTATTTTATATACCTCAATCAGATTGCCCCTCATTCTTCTGAACTCCAGTGAGTACAAGCCCAAGCTATTCAACCGCTCCACGTATGGCAGCCCTGATATCTCTGGAATCAATCTGGGGAACCTCCTCTGAACTGCCTCCAATGCCACCACAATCTTCCTCAAGTAAGGAGACCAAAACTGGACACAATATTCCAGGTGTGGTCTTACCAATGCCTTATATAGTTTTATTGTTTAGTCCTTTTGCAATAAATGCCAGGATTCCTTTTGCCTTACTTATTATGTGTCGCACCTGCATATCCAATTCCTGTGATTCATGCACAAAGATACACTTTGAATCTGCTTCCCATTTAAATAATAATTTGCTCCTTTAGTTTTCTGGCCAAAATGGACAACTTCGCACTTATCCATGTTAAACTCCATCTGTCAGATTTTGGCCTATTCTCCTAGCCTATTCATATCCATCTCTAAATTCTTTATCTCCTCATCACAGCTTGCTTTCCCACCAATATAACTCCAAGGAGGCAGGTATCTTGTTACCAAGTCACCGTTTATTTACATGTGCACAGTACATGGGCTCTGACTAGCTTGCTTAGAGCCAGTCCCTGGAATGAGGAGAATCTTTGAATCTCCTGTTCATGTCTGTCAGCCAGGGCTCCCTGAATGGCCCAGGTTAACAGCCCCAGTCAAGGATCTCCTAGACAATGAGATTTATACATCATGTGCAAATTCCGCTATGCTACACTCTGTCCCTTCTGGCAGATCATTTACATTGATTCTAAATAGTTGAAGTCCAAGAAGTGAACCCTGCGTTACAGTTACAGTTGCACTGGTTACAGTTCACCATCCAGAGAAGGATTCATATATTCCACAATTTGCGTTCTGTCACTCGGCCAATCCTCTATTCAAACTAGTACTCTATCCGTAACTTCCTGTGATCTGACCTTCTGAATCAGTCTTTTATGCAGTACCTTGTCAGATACCTTCTGTAGTCTAGATATACCACATCCACTGGATCCCCATTATCTACCTTGCTGGTTATACATCCTCGAAGAAACTCCAGGTTTTTCAAGCATGATTTGCTCTTCATGAAACTGTGCTGACCCTGGTGAATTGAGCTTTGTTTTTCCCAGTTCAGTTATCTCCTCCTTTATGCTTGACTCCAACAACTTTCCCAATACAGAGTCAAACGAACTCGTCTATAGTTTCCCACTTTTTACCTATCTCTTTTTTTTTGAGTGAGGGTGTCACATAAGCATGTTTCCAAAACACTGGTACCTTTTCAGAATCCAGGGAATTGTGGGATATCATAACTAAAGCATTCACTGTCTCTGCTGTCAGACCCTTTAATACCCTAGAGTCTAGGCCATCAGGCCCCAGGGACTTATCTGCCTTTAATCCCATCAGTCAACTTAATACCTTGCCCCTAATTATAGTAATTTCCCATTATTACCTGACCATTTTCATCCTCAAATGGGCCTACATTTCCTTTCACTATTCTCTTCCTTTTTATAGATTTATAGAAGCTTTTGGTATCACTACATGTGTTTCTTGCTAGTTTCCTTTCATAGTTAATCCCATCTCTTGATTTTGTTTTTAGTAACCATTTGCTACATTTAAAATTATCCCAATCCTCCAGAGTGCCACTAGCTCTTGCAGTATGAAATGTCCTAGTTTTTGCCTTTGTTATCCTTGACTTCCTTGTTAAGCCATGAATGATTTTTCACCTTTTTACAATTCCTCTTCCTCTCAGGAATGTACTTTAATGATAGTATCATCCTAAGCACTTACCTCTGCTCTTCAACTGTCCTGCCCTTTCATATTTTTGCCCAGTCCACTTGGGCCAACTCCTTCCTTAGACCTG